CTGAACTGTTTTGGCGCCGATGTCGCCCTCGTCTTCATCCTTCGCCACACAATTCATACCATTATTTCCATACATTTGCCAACAAATCACTACTAAATCACTACAAATGATAACATACTTCTTGTGATGCGGGCGCTGAGGCCATAGGCATGGCTCCCATCGCCATCATAGGTGTGTCCGATATGTTCAGTGTTTTCTGCAATATATAAGATAATATGATATGAAAGTGATGTCTCATTTGGTGGTCATATGCCTGAAGACCTACTAATTCGTTAACTAAGTTAAGGCTCTGAAGTTACTCGCAATCCAAACTCTATAGCCAGTGATAAAACTGCTAGAAAACCAGCATAACAAACAGCAGGTTTCTGTGCCGGCCGCCAACCTAGAGTAACATACTCGACTGGGATGTCATCGTCTGAGCGCTCCTCGTCTGCAGACATGTCCTCATTATCTGCGATCTGTTCACAAGAAACGCATTTCTGGTGACAATTGAGAGGGAAATCAGTTTTTTAGTGACCATTGAATGGTTGCGTCCATCGGTTGTCCACAAACCTATTGAATGACATTTTTATCACTTTTGGCGTTAATCTCATAAAAGCCCTCATTTTGTGATGAATTGTTTTTCGATGCGATTATGAAATACTAAATTAAATTGAGACCAAAAAGTGAATCAAAAGTTTTTGCACCAAAACAGTGGTAAACGACTGAAAATGTGGTTCAATTCAAATCAAAACAAATAAACGGCTCATAAATAACGGCTCAAAGTCTGGCATTTGTTGAGACATTTGACGAGAATCTCAAGATTTGAAGCAAGAATTTCTTGCCATTAATCTTACAGTTAATTAGTCCACGAATTAGTAAAACGTGTAAATTTATTAAACCCACTTAATTAACATCAAAAGTTTGAAAAGTTTTACAGAATAGCCTGCAACATTAAACAATTATATGCATGGCTATATTTTCAGAATCTTCATCAGAATATTCTGTATTTTAATAGAATTTGATTTAAGAATATTAATTTAATGACTGGAATATTACTTACTATTATACTTATTACTATTTAATAGTAAAATTTTATTGATAATTAATCAAGGTAATAGTAAAATTTAGTTTATAATACGAAATTAAAAGTTATAAAGGTTGAAAATAGTAACATGTATAAAAGTGTATAAAAATTTACTCGATATTAATGTACAG